GAGATCTGCATAGTTAAGGGCTGTAAAATAACTTTGAGGTGTCAGTGGTGAGGGTATTTGTGAACTAACTGAATTGTTAAACTTTCTGTCACGGAAATAAACCATTTATTAAGGATTATTTCTAGGAGGGGTGCAATCAAGTCACAGCGTTAAAAATAAGCAAACCAACAGGTAGTGTGCATTTCTTAGTTTCATTCTCATTAATAACAGCGCCTTTGACAACATTAATTTATTAAGCAATTCCAGTGACGTATACCTTAACCCTAATAAACTAAAGCCTCGTCCAAACGGACGCAACATTGTTGGCCAACAACTCCCAACATTGTTGTTAGCAGAAGTCAAAGAAGAATAAAGACAAAGATGTAAATCAGATTCCTGGTACCTCATAGTGTAGCGAGCGAGTTGCTTGAACACACCCCTACTCATCCAACAATGTTGGGAGTTGTTGGCCAACACTGTTGTGTCCGGTTAATTGCACGGGGCTCAAGCACTAGTCGGTAAAACTGTAGTTAATACAGTATTAACGGCAATTAATAGCAAGGTACATTATATTGTCGAGACTAAGACAAAATAATTAAGGAATTGTGCATTATCAAATGCACTCTTATCGTCACATATCTCATTTTTCAGTATATCAACACAACAGGAGCTCGAGTGTGTACAAAGGAATTGTACGATTCAAAGTACGACCCTCTCTCTGTATCATATACTGTCTTGTCAGGTAAGAACGGGTTTATGGAATTCTCGTTTTAGTAACACATAGGTTTTACTGATTACTCACAACTAATTCATTATGAATGTATAAAGAGATAACGAAAGTCATTTCATTAATAGAGGAAGGCGATCGTTTTAAATATTAGCTCCTTGGAAGTTGTTAATGTTTTTGCTACTGATTATCCCATGTGCAAAATGCTCTCAATTTGGCGTCGTCAGTTTTATTTTCCTCTTTTCCTCCTGTTAAGCGTATCGGCCTCACAAGCAGTTGGGATGATGTTTGTGAAGTTGCCTCGTTCCCAGTCGCTAGCGTTGCTTGCCTCCATTTCTTGCGCTTCTCGATTGTTCTGTTCTCGCTTCTATAAAGGCCTGGGAAAGGCTTTGGAAAAGGCACTCTTTAAGGGACCAAATGCGTAGAGATTTCTAAACTGCACAGTCGGTTTATATCTTTATCACAGATATTTGCCAGCCAAGATGGAGTTATTTTGGTGGCTACTGTTACTTCACAAGTCGAGCATGCGCCTCGTGGCTGACCGCGGAGTCAAACTGTTCTACGATGAGTTCCAATTTGGTAACGGTTCACAATCAAGAAGAAAATGTCTACATTCAACACCGTCACAACGGAGAGAGATCTTGGATTGGACTCAATGACCGAAGTGTGGAGGGCTCCTTTGTGTGGACAAACAAAGAAATAAGTAGTTTTAGGTTCTGGGCCCCACAGCAACCGAATGACAGGAAAAACGAAGACTGTGTTCACACTCTTGGAGCCAAGCATGGTTACGCTTGGAATGATGTGCCTTGTCATAACTGCTATAATTATACTTGTTTTAAAGGTACGCGTCATAGTAAGATTCATATCTTTGTTAATCCCCATGAACCAGAAAGGCTTCTAGACATTTTTAAAAAACGAAGACTGTGTTCACACTCTTGGAGCCAAGCATGGTTATGCTTGGAATGATGTGCCTTGTCATAACTGCTATAATTATACTTGTTTTGAAGGTACGAGGCATAGTAAGATTTATATCTTTGTTAATCCCCATGAACCAGAAAGGCTTCTAGACATTTTTAAAAATGTATTTTTTTAATTCAACAAGTACATTTTGCATAAAAAAATGTCCATTTAAACCAAAAAATGGCCACAAGGGCCTAAAATCGGAATCACAAATTGATTTAAAGAAATATTGGACGTCGAATTTACATTCCACTATTTTGTCTAGGAAAACGTTCCGTTGACGTTCGGCGGATATTAGGGACCTTACGAAACTACGACAACTACGGCGACGGCAATGTCAAAAAGCCGGCAATAGGTTTAGTTAGCAAAACAACAACTCTGCACGTGCATAACGCTTTTTTGTACTGTAACATTTCTTTGCCTTCCGTGCACGACTACGGCGTGAAATGACCTCAAGGTTTTTTGAGGACGGGAACGGCAAGCGATAAATTCTACCATCTCTGTCTGAAATCGGGTGCGGCCCCCTCTCCAGCTCCAACATAAATTTCCTTCTTTTAAGTAACTGGGAGACTTGGGATAATCGCAAAATTGTTTGGAAGGATGCGGAGTCTACTTTTCAGCGAGGTTTTTATGGACGTCGCCGTTGTCGGATCGTAAGGTCCCTATTTTCCACTGTAACGACGGGAAAAGTCGTGCTGGCCTCTATTTTGGTTTCAAGACACTTCTTTGCAAATGTTTAACAAAAGTGAGTGCAGGGTATAGCTGACGACCCTTTTTCGCATGTTCCTTCTTTCTGGCATTTTATTTTCCCTTGCTAGCGCGCGTTAATTACTCAAATACCTTACAGAATATAAAACTGTCCTTTTTAAACAGGCTTCATTAACTAAAAAGTCATTTGGTTTCTACAAGAAGTCTCTGCGTGCTTTCTTTTATAGACTTGGATGAATGTACCACTGGTTCGGATTCCTGTGACGTCAATTCTGTATGCCAGAATACCGTGGGTTCATACACATGCTCGTGTAATGCTGGGTACACAGGAGATGGAAAACCTTGCAATGGTATTTAAAATACAGTCGAACCTTCCTGTGAGACTACAGAGGCGGATCCACGGGGAGGGTTGACTGGGTTGTAGCCCCCCCCTCCCCCCGGGAAGTTTTCAAACTTGTCTGACTATCCAGGTCTATCCCTTACCAAAAAATAGTATGATAAGTTATAATTTAAGTTCCAGTCCAAACGATAATTACAAGAAGACTGTAGCTATTCCTCTTCTCGACCCCTTAATCATCATCTGACGAAGATCGTCACGCCCGCCATCTGCTTTGTCTCGTGCCATCGATTACAGTAAATAAGGCACTGCAGATGGATGGTGAAGTAGGTCCTGGGAGAAAGACATTTCATTTCTCAAATCCCTGGGAAATTAGGTACGTAGATGGAAAACACTCTGACTGGCATTCAAAAGATAGGGAGCTTCCAAAAAACCTTTTATTAGCATTTGGTGTTTGCGATGAAGATGATTTTCCAAACATCTATCGCCCTCTGCTCAATGCCTGCACCCTACCGATCACAAGTGCAGAAGCTGAGCGATCGTTTTCACTGATGAAATGAATCAAGACCTGCTCTAGGTCAACAATGCCTAAAGAGCGATTATCTGATCTCGCAGTGAACGCTATAGTATACTACTCCGAGAGATTCGAGGTAGACAAGATATGCCAAGCCTTTGTAAAGGCTCATCCAAGAAGCTCTTTCAAGCTAGCGCTAGTCTGTTTGATTAAATAGGAGAGTGGAAAGAAGACAAACAACTATCGTTGTTGCACTGTACTCATAGTCCTTAACAATAGTGCCGCAAATTTATACCTCTGAAAGCAAAACGAAGAAAATCTACACATTCTATAGCCTCCCACGCAAACGTTCTTAGGGGAGGAAAGATTGCGTGACGAACCCCTAAGAACGTTTGCGTGGGAGGTTACACATTCTACATATTCAAACATAACGCTAACCCTAACCCTAACTCTCCCACCTCCGGCATTCCTTTGGCCCTGGGACGTTTGTCTTGAACTCCCATACTTACAAAACCCTCTTTGAAAAAATCCTGCATGCGCCCCTAGACTACCCCTCTTCCCATAAGCGGAGATGGAATTACAAAGATTGTAACCTTGAAATTCCGTAAAATAAATTATTTTCCAAAAAAAAAAAAAATTGGGGAGGGGTGGGGGGAGCTGACTAATCGGAAATACCTCCTGTTGTCCGATCCTCGCAAGCGACCATCTCCCGTAAGGGACCACTAAATGTTCGTATTTTGGGTGGTCGCTAAGGGAGGATCGACAGTAATAATTAAAGAAGACAAGCTCAACACTGTCATGTCGTTAGTACATGTCGTGTTTGGTAAAGAGCCTAAAACCAGATTTTGTAAAAGCAACAATCAAATGAATACACGACCTTATAGTTATAATATCAGTGATTCTAACGCCCTACGCAATTTACTCGTTCTCATGCAGATATCGACGAGTGTTCTACCAACTCTCACAGTTGTGACGTCAATGCGGTGTGTAGCAATACGGCAGGATCGTACGAATGCGCATGTAAAGCAGGATTTACAGGCGATGGAAAAACTTGCTCCGGTAAGCTGCTGTGGCAATGTCAACTTGACTTTCAGAACGATGTAAATGTGATTCTATGCCCCTCTATTTGCTATATTCACTCAGTACATGAAAAAATGTCAAGAAAAAAGAAAAAGGAAAAGAAAAAAAAGATGGACATGACATAAATGATATAAAATTCCAATTCAAGTAAAACAAAACACAACAAGCTTAAAAGAAGTTGCAGAAAATAACTAAATATAAATAAGTATAATGACCTCAGCCGGGGTCACTTTTACCAAAAAATACTTTATTTAATGGTATTGCAACTGAGCTAATAGGGGCACTTTGCCCGTATTATATGTTATGAAAATCGCTTTGGCTCGTTATGCATTTAAGCAAGGATTACTTCCTGTTTTTTTTTATTATTATTATTCCATACTATGTGTCTCACTCGTAATATTTTGCTACAAGACATTTTTAGTTAAGTGGGATTAATAACAAGAATATGTGACCTTACCGATCACAGGATTCGGTGCATGACTTACGAGAAGGTTTCGATCCTCACTTTTTTCCCTAGATATCGACGAGTGCTCTACCAACTCTCACATTTGTGACGTTAATGCTGTGTGTAGTAATAATGTGGGATCTTACGCATGCGCATGTAAAGCAGGATTTACAGGCAATGGATACACCTGCACTGGTGAGCCGTTTAAGTCTAATGTAAAACGTTTTTTGTTTGACATGTTTGTTTTTAAATGTACTCTTCTTGCCCTTTCAATAAAGTTTTTGGTTAGATGGGAACAAATTACAGTAAAAATGACCGCTTAGAGTAAGCTAACAGAGAAGCAATAAATAAAAATAAAGTTCAGGTGCCAGTTGTACAAAAGCTGTATAGCGCCATCCAACGGATAAATCACTGTTCAGTAGATAAGGAGTAGGGATCAACTGCGCTATCCACTGGATAGAGATTTGTTGAGTGGATAGGGTTATCTATCTTTTGAACAACAAGGGCCAGTTCGGCAAGATGCGCAAAGTTGTAAGACGTGCGTAAATGCCTTTGTATTTTTGTCCAATAAGTGCAACAAAATCGATTGTTTAAGCCTGCGACCCCTTTTTCTTTTTTTTCTTTCTCTATCAAGCATGAAATTATTAAGAATCCTTCAGGAAACGGGGTAATTTCAATTTTCAGTGGACCAAACCCTCGTACCAGAATAATTTAAACGATATTGCATTCTTTTTTTATTACTTTCAAGGGCTATTAATAGTAAGTTATACATTGTAATTAGTTATCTGAAATAACACCAAATACTATTTCTCATGGGAACCCGAGAAAATAAAATGTCAAATTTCACAACAATTGTGAAAACACAGGTAAAATTCTGAAAATTTCATGTGTAAGATGTTTTTTTGTGAAATTTGACATATATTATCTCTGGCTCTCATAAGAAATTACCTTTGGTGTTACATGTGTTACAGATAACCAGTAATTACATCTATAGCCCTTGAAATATGTCAAAAAGAATGCGATATTGTATAAATTATTCTGGTGCAAGATTTTTGTCCACTGACTGAAATCAAATTACTCAGTTTCCTTATGGATTCCACCTTAATTCTGTTTAACTTGTTTCCTCTTTGCAAAGAAAACGGTTATACAGGTTATGATTACACTTAATTTTATTGTTCCTTTTTTGTAGATATTGACGAGTGCACCAGCGGTACCCACAACTGCCACAGTTCACTTGCTTCATGTACAAACACAGCGGGATCCTTTAGTTGTACATGTAACAGTCCTTACCTCGGAGATGGCAGAAGTTGCTATATACCATCAGGTGATAATTCGCCGAATATTACCGGGAGATGTCTATTCACTAGACCCTCATTTACATTTGTTAGAAGCGCATTATTCCGGGGGGGGGGGAAATCCTTAAGTAGATTTTTGCTGGGTATGTGCCGCTGGCCTCTCGGAGCCGCTACCCTCTTATAGTCTGAACCCATCTTAGTCACTTTTAGGCAAATATGTAATTTTCGTGATCCCAACTTAGTCACTTTCTATTTCAATGAACTGACCAATATTTTAAACTAAATGAAGAACACTTTACTTTTAACCTACAGTACAAACATCCTGGTACCTTTTCTAACCGTAAATACGAAGAACTGTCTTACACCAAGAAATACGAAAATGTGCGACCCCATTCTAGTAACTCTGTTGAAGATGCGACCCCATCCAGCTGCACATCCCCATTAGCCTCCTATAAGGAAGTACCCCTCCTCCCGGGACATTACTCTGACGGGGCTTCAGTTGAACGTTAATATTACCCAGATCTCTTGCCGACGAAGCCAAAAGCGAGATCTGGTCAATTAATCAAATTCAATTTTCTTTTTTACTACCCACTTAAACGGCCTATATAACGTTATAGTGGGGGAGTAACATAAGTATTGTCATCAGCGCGCGCTACTGTGTCTGCAATTCATTTTTCACAAAATCTTTTTCTTGTCGTTCCCCCTTTTGCTTGCCTCATTACGATGCACGAATAGGTGTATCGAACATGACCAGCTTTGCACAATACAAGTCCCATTGACGAACAAGAGAATGGAAAAGTTTCCTTTTTAAGATTTCTTATATATTAAGTAAATTCTTGAATTGTAACAGTTTACTTACTAGTGACCTCTATTATGTAGGGATCGGATCGTCCATCATTCTCCTTCCCAGAGCTTAGCTTCGATCCTTTTGCGGGTCAGCGTCGGCTATTCGTGCTGACCAAACGAAGAATGATCGTCCAGTAATGCCTTGTTAGATTGTGGTTATACTCGTTTCGTACCTACTAGATTAAGCCAGCCTTTCAAATACTGTTAGAGTTTCCTACATTTCTGGGTTTTATTGTCTCCTGCAACTTCTCATGTTGAGCAGTATTTCAAGATCGCAGCTTGGGGATTAACGGACTAATTCTTATAGACATACTGCAGTAATGCACTGCACGCATAATGGTAGTTTCTTGGTGACGCGTAGAAGAAAACTAATCAATACCCACAACACAAAACAAAAGCGTCGGTTTCCGCAACACCAAGAAGCACCCAAGATAAAATACTGAGTTCAGTACTCCATAGAAAAGTACAAGAGTACGATTTTTAGCCCCGACTTGAGCAAGAAAATAGAAGAGGAACAAAAACATTACGACAACAACCACATAAGCTGCCATGAACTGATCGGATGGGCTCATGATCAGTAGCCAATTCAAAACTTTGAGCATCATCGATCAAAGGGTTCTTGATCCATCTTTTGCGAGAGATAAAGAGGCTTCACTATCAGAAATCTATGAAAATGGCGCGTTGTAAATCCGTTGCACAAGGCGAATAGTACTGGGGTGCTGCATTATACTTAAAAGGTTTAACCAGCAAAAATCACTTTGTCTTTAGACCCTTCTCACGAAAATAGTTTAAACAGAAGCAGGGGAGTGAGACTGGAAGGGGCCAGAAGCCAGAAATCTTGTTTCTTCCCAGTATTACTTATTCAAAATTTTACCGTTTCTGAATTTCTGTCCCGCCGCTAAATCCTCACAACCGGCACACGGTTACCATATTTGGAGGCCGATGTAGACAGTACCCAATCGATGGCATGCTCCTCCTCGATCTGCATAATTCTTCACATCATACTCAGCTTCATTCAATAACTGTTAGATATAAGAAATCATGGTTTGTGACTCAGTAAGGTTCTCAATAGAAGAGGAAAACTTTCATTGTTTCCGCCATGTTAAGGCGGGGAGTCGAAAAATCATCCACATTGATCACAACAGTTTATTCATCAAGCCAAGAATAAGTCGGTGAAGTGAGACGCAAACAATTCTTACATGTACCAGTCACTGACCGGTTTGCAATTCCGCAAGACTTATCAATTCCCATTATGTCGCGTCGCATCGCAGTTAGATGTAGTGACACTCTATTGGAACGTTTTTCCCTCTTGTTCGATTCAGGATAACTGTGGAAATTTCTGTAATTTGGATAGCTGTTTTGCGAAGGCAGGTAGACGCTTATGGCCTGTTTACATGGAGGTGAGGGTCCCCAGGTTAGTAAGGTGACCCGCTTAGGTAGGGTAACCTGCCTGTCCATACAATCTCTCATATGGTTACCCCCACCTATCCTATAAACTTGATCAAATTAAAATGAGAGATTATATGGACAGGCGGGTTAACCACCTACACGTGAACAGGTCTTTAAACTGTGTACTTGAGGTTGTGCAATGTATTTGCAATTGCATAATTATATCGGGCCAACCTTTGTTACTGTGACTGCTTTTGTGTTCCCATTTTATTAATGTTCTTTTTAGTTAAAAAGAGAAAACCGTTATTTAGCAATCCTATTGAAGTGAAATATTTAGTAACAGTAATATTTTATCAGCCTACCCCTTAAAACGGCTTTTCAGCCGACTTTAAAATTGCAATCTGATAATTAACGTTACAATAGGTGAAATGTTTTGGGAAAAAAACATGAAATAAGGAAATGACGCTTCTTCACTTCAGCCTTAAGCTGTTCGAGATTCTTCTATATTACCTGGAGATTCTGCAAAGTCATTCCGGAGGCGGACTGCTCATTGACGCTGATCATGACCGGCAGTCAGTCTAAAGGAAGGCACGTCTAACTTGTTTCTGTTTTCGATATTACGAGAGTGCGCATGGACCATTTTCTTAAACCTGTTACAGATATAAGGGACTGGTGTTGAAGGCACAAATGTAATAACTGGTCACAAATGTAATAAAGGTCACAAGGGTAATAACATTTGGTCACAAATGTAATAACAGGGAGGGAGAAAGCGAAAGGCAAATTAAAAAACTTGAGTGGACGGTGAAAGTCTTTTGTCTGAGCTTCGCAAGCTATTATTAAGCTTTGGGAACAGCACGATCTGCGAAATACTCGACAGGTATGTAAAGTTTCGGATAGTTTGGAACCTTTAATGTTAAGCGAGATAGAGGCCGGAAAATGCCTCAAATAGCTCTTCTTGATGGCATCAGACGCACGGCTGCGAAGGAGACCAGAATTGATTAAGCACGATAGGTTACCCTCATACGAATTACATGTAAACTTGCTAATTGGCTTATGACGGCATTGAGAAGTTTCAACATGCGACTGTAGTGTCACCTGTTCGTCACACAGTCCTGGCGGAAATTTTATTGTTGCAATATAGTGAAATAAGGACTTACGAGAGCCTATAACTTCAAAACAATGGTTTAATTTCATTAAATCTGAAGATTAACTTACAACCTTGAAAAAGAAAGGCTTAAGGTTATCAAATTAGGACTTCGAATTGCTTTCCTGCTATACATGGCAGGGAAACTGTAGTTGTGCATACAAAAAAGTATGGGACCGAACATCAGTCCTATTAATTAATACACCAAGCACGAATTTTCTCTGAGAAGAACACAGTTTTTGATCTAATCAGTCTTAGGCAAATCTAAAAAAGAAGCTTCCTTATTTGGCGTTAAACGAGGAACATATGTTCTTCTTTGGTTGGCACGCTTTTCTATTTACATGTGTTTACAATATTCTTCCAAAAAATGCCAGATATTGCAAACCATCCAAATTCTAGAGGAACTAACCTCACCCATGCATGATACCATTTAGAAGATTTAAAAACTGCCCGAAGGCGTTCAACAGCACTACTGCATCTCACCTTCAGCATTCCTAGTTTCCTTATGCTTATGAAGACTGTTTTTTCTGCAAGTTCTGGAATGTATACCGTAGGGCAAGGCATCTTGTCTACTGTTTCTCTGAAGAAGGTATTTACACCTCGTAGGGATGTTCTCATAAACGGAAGGGACTTTAAGGTAATCTTAATGATAATTTCTAGGACGTCGTTGTTTAAAAATTGCCCTGTGTATCCTGATCCTACTCCATTCTGTAGCTCGTCATTTTTGTCCGCGTGACTTATACCTTCACTTACTGTATCCCCCCTACTTCTGTCAACTTGCTCCGTGTCCCCGTCAATTCTGAGAACATAACCTTCATCCTCTTTATCTTTGCCTGATACTCACAAGGAACCTCAAGGCCAATTCTACACCAACTCTCTTTACTCGTTTCCCGTTGATTATAACCTTTCCATTGTTGAGTAGTCAGAACGTTTTTTTGGATCCTTTATATTGTTAGGTTCGGCATGAGTGTATAAAAGTCTCCCAATCTTGGTTCCCACTCAGCCTACTCGTGATATCCCCTAAGGAAAGAGTTTAACTATACAATTTCCTGTGACATTTTAGCCATTCAGCTCACCTTTGATTTGATGTGATATCTTCTGAAATTTTTTAAAACTTTTTACTCGTGCACAGTGTGGTGTAAATGCGTAGGAGAGAATGTCCTCTGTGGGATTTTAGATTTTGTTGTGATTTTAATTTGTTTTAGCTTAGTACAGATGTTTATTACAATTGTGACCAAATGTTATTACACTTGTGAACTTTATTACATTTGTGAACAAATTTTATTACACTTGTGACCTTTATTACATTTGTGACCAGTTATTACATTTGTGCCTTCAACCTGGGCAAGTCCCTTAACATGTGTTAAATAAACTCGTATTTTTTTAAGGCTTGTCACAAAACGCAAGGCACGCGTTTTATCACTGGTTAAAAAATCTTACGCTTATTACGCTCGAATGTTAAACCGGTGATAAAACACTGCTGTTCGTGCTTTAAACATTACTAAACACAGAACGCTTTCAGACTAGAAAACGATTGTTTTTCCTTTTCCTACATTGAGATACATTACCTTAGAATTAAACACCAAAAACCATTCACCAAAATTTGACAAATAACTTGAGCGAAATGGAATAAGAGTGATAAAAATTAATTTGAAACAGCGTGAATACACTTTTTTGTGGGGTTTTCGCTCAATGCCGTCGCAGTCGTGGTTGCTTAATATGCTCCTTATATGGAAAGAGACCGTGACTGATAGGAAGATCGGGTATGCCAAATATGGAGAATATGGACTCTACGCCATTTAAAGGGAGGGCATCATGCCACTAGCACGCAATCTCAGAACGAAAAAAACTTTATAGGCGTTTGTTATTTTGCGCGTTTCAGCCTAATCTTTATAATGATAACAAGCTTCAAGCGTATCTGACACAAACTCGAGCTTTCTTTCATTAAGGGAAGCTCTGCAGCAAAAGTGTAGCTCGCTGCTTTGCGTTATATGCTCTATGAGATCTCTTGACGCACACGGATCCGTGCAGAAGAAGACAATGAAATTGCGTGAAAAGGGCAGGTAATTAAGGAAAAATTCAAACAGGAGTAGTTCATACTTCCTTTTGAGTCCATGGGCATCCTTACTTAAGGGATTTTGAAACTCGACCTTGGTGCCAATGTTCCAAGGCAACCTTCTAGCTCCTTTTTTTTTTTGTACAGTTACAAACGTATAAAGTCAAAGTCTCTTATTACCGACACTACAACGCGCGGGAATTGTGCGTTGTTTAGTTAGGCACGTTTTCATAAACTAGTTATTTTTTACAATAACTGAGTTATTCCTTACGCGCTGATTGGCTAATTTCTGTCATTAATAAGAGGAGGGATATAAAATTTTAATTTTTGCAGCACGGAACACCGGCTTAATACGAACACCGTATATAACTGGCAGTTTCTAAAACTTACTCGCTTAATGCGGACACTGGTTAATGCGGATAACGGAGTTACACTTTTTTGTGTCCCGAGGCACAAACTCTCATACATTGTCAACCCCTGCTATTTACGGACATTGGTTATCAGCGCACCGTCCATTTTCCTTGTCACAATCACGTGCTAATTATAGGCGTCGTACACTGTTCAAACAATGAAAGATTTCTTTAGGTTTAAGTACCAAAATAGCATTGTAATTTGTTTGATTTTAAGTCAGTCTTTCTTCCCGTGTTTGACCCTTGTGCTATATATAGCCACTGAATAATTTTTTCCGCCTCCTACTACACAAGTTTCACCTCCTTGGCTTTTCGCCGCAGTCATTGTTCCTACCCTTCTTTATCTTTGCCTTAGTCTTTATTTCAATACAACATGTGTCCGGGACGTTTCCTCGGAGATACGGCCATTCGGATGACGGGACACCACGGCATGTCCCCTAATTAAGTGTTTCTATTAACCGAGTGCTACTGTAGTTTCTTTTTGAGAAGTAAAATATTTTTTACTGATCCTTTTTTCCAAGCTTTTACTTGTTTACAGTAAAAGGTAAATTGACGCTTGGTCATAACATTGTCAAACAGACCGAAATAGAACATAAAATGAACATGGCGCAGCTGATGGCGTTACAAAAATTCGCACATGGAGCAACCACTATTGCAACTTCAAACGCAGCACTATATGAAAATGATATGCACTATGACAACAAAACCACCATCAACAAGGAAATTTTATGCAGATACTTTCCAAAAATTTTTTCAGATTTCTTCAATCTAGAACTTAGATGAAAATTGTATTCGACTTTTTGGTGGTAATCCTTTCTGTTCTTCAACCAAACCTCAGCTGCAGAAAGACTGTAAACCATTAACTTCTCCCCGCCATATGTATGTATATATATATATATCACCCGTTTTCAAAAAGGTTTTCATATAGATAGATATATAGATACATATATACCTTTGTTTTCTTGCACGTGCGCCCGTGTGCATTTACACTTGTTATTGTCCAACTTGCGAAAGAACTTGGTTAAACGATAAATTTTCTTATAAATTTTCTTATATATATATATATATATATATATATATATAGATTTGCAGAGTTGGATTATTTGGTCGAAGACATTTATTGCTACTCAGAGTTTCATGCTCCTTGCGGAGCAATCATCAGGCAACTGCTAAAAATAACGGATACATATGAAGATATACAAAATTGGAAAATACAGAACAATGCGATAATATATATATATATATATATATATATATATATATATACATATATATATATAATAATAATGCAATAATATATAAATGCAATAATATATATATATATCTGTCTGATTTTAGAAAAAGGTACCTATCTAAGAATCCCAACCATTGCCTAGTGTAGTTTTCTAACTCACTGTCGTACCGGAATGGTCAAGCAGCAAATAGTAGTTTTCAACAACAACAACAATTTTTTTATTAGCGAATGATAACATTGTGCTATACAGTGAAACCCCTTGCCTAAGAACCTATATTTTAAGAACCTGTTTAGTCTAGAAATTGAAACAATTTCTTAGTTTCTAAAATCTCTGAAAAAATTTGCCTGTACCCTTGGGCAAAAGCTAGATCAGTCACTATTCAGAATCCTCTTTGAAGACATACTTGCATTATCGCTCTAACTGGACTGTTTAAATGCCAATGAGGTCAATGCTTTAGGTTTTCTTTATATGGTCGTTTTTACATAACGTCTTATTTGGTGTGCAGATTTTATATGAGGAATAAGCTGAACCACTAAATTCGCTTGGCTATATTGTATTTTTCTTATTCAGAACATAACCTGTGTAAGAACCTAAATAGCCTTAACCTGTACTAACTACCATTTATATATTAAAAAGAATAACCTGTTTAGGATAACTTTGAAAAATCCAGGTTCTTAGTCTGTTGGTACGTTTTACTGTAAGACAAAGGCAAGGCGAAGGAAACTGAGGTGCTGCGTTAAAGAGGAAGCTAATTAGGACACACGATTAATGTTCAAGTGAAAGGTATATAATGATAACTTTCAATCGTCAATCTCGCTCCCCTCTTGGATACATGGTAGGGCAGCATAGAAACATTCGGCACGTTCACTTAAATATTTTCTAGCTAGATTTAGACACTGCTGCTTTACATCTTCACGAATTGGCCTTAGTTCCTGCCTCAGTGTGGTCAGTAGGTCTATTCGCAGTGGAGTTGCTTGCCTTCTCTTTGTGTACGAAACTAGCCTGGGTTGCTGTTTTGGGTCAATAGTGAAACGCACGAAGGCGCAGTCGGGATGATCTACAACTTTCAGATTGCCGCTGTCATCAGGCTGTTCCCCAATTCCAACATTAATCCACGCGATTTCTTTGACCTCAAATTTCTCGTGCTGTAAATCTTCGTTTCTACTGACGTATTTTAACTTTAAAAATGACTTGTAGTCCTTTATTATGTCAAGACCTACCCAATAGACCTTGACGCTTGATAAACCACTGCTGACTAGAACGTTTTCCCAATCTTTGGGTGTTTCAATTTTCTCTTGGGCGTTAAAAACTTTTTGAATGTTTCCAAAATATCTATCGCACACACTATACGAGTGGCCCTCCAACAAGAATTTTAAGTCTGTTCGTAGGAAGTCTCCTCTTGTGACCAGGTAATCCATATAAAAAAATAGAAAGTTTTGCTTAAACTGAGCCGGAGAATTGTCACACCACACTAGAAGATGGTCATACCTGTCTCGGCCTTGCTCCGTCTGAAGTTTTTTGAGAAAATAGTCCAAGATTGAGATCACTTCATTTGGGCCTACACCAGCAATAGACTCGTCGTACATAAAACAGTGTATGACCTCCTGGTTTGCGCAGTATATACCCATTAGGCTTGTCCTGAGCTTTTTTGAGTAATACCAGTCTTGAGACGACACCTTTGGTGTAGGTAAGCTTTTGTGAAAATCCATATGCAAAGTAAGCGTTTTCGAGGCCATTTTAGTCCATGAAAGGGGCTTGACTAGGTGAGGCTTAACACATCGTGCCCTCTTTAACGCAGCACTCAGTTTACTTTAAAACTTATCTCTTCAGTTATTTACAGCTTGCGCTAGTGGCTCGATATTCAAAAAAAAAAAACTACCGTTATCACTTACGTTTGCGACAGTCATTGGAAGAGAAACTTAAGAGAGCGCGCGCAGGTCCGTTGACCTTGCAAACAGTTGTCTTCACATTAGGGACCCTAAGCAAACACGACTTTGAGCGATGCACGTCAACCGGAAGTGAGGCCTTCTCTTCTTTTATATGCCTTGACGCTAAAAAATTTGTATCGCTAAGTTTCTTTTCTCTTATAAAGACGATTTGCCCGAAATTTTGAGCCCACCCACTGCCCAATGTTGCAAAAAGCCCACTTCCGGTTGACGTCCGTCGCTCAAAAACGCTGTTGCTTAAGCTCCCTGTTGGAGCCAAGAGTCACGTTTGCGGCAAACGGCAAACGTGAATTTGTACCACGTGACCAAGTGTTCCCTGTTTCTTGTTGTGAAATTCTCAACTTGAATCTGACGTTTGCTCTTTTCCGTAAAAGAGACTCTAAATATCTCTGTTCAGTCTGCCATGGCTCACGGTTTCCTGTACTTTTTTGAACTGAAATTGTATGTGTTTTAGTGAATCTTTTTCCGTGATGCGGTGTGTATTTTGTATTAATACGGGGACTTTTTTATGTAATGAATAATTAAAAGGGATGACAATTCGAGGAGGGCGATTTTTTTAAAACAGATATATAACAAATACCCAACCCTTTTTCGGATTCAGGCCCATGTTTCATGGTAGGAGGGAGGGCTACCCACCTATCATAAGGCATAGGAAGGTTGTACTTTCCTCAAGTTAACAAAGCCTTGATCTGAGACATGCGATTAGCTTTGGTAGGCTAAGGTAATAGGCCCTTTGCAGCTAGTCATTCACGTGGTACAAAACCGCCGTGCTGGAGAGCAAAAGTCGCACTGGGACAAGACTAACAAAGAAAATTACCATTTAAAATTATGCCGGTATGTCTTTTGTCTGTCTTGTCCCAGTGCGACTTTTGCTCTCCAGCATGGCGGTTTTGTACCACATGAATGACTAGCTGCAGAGGGCCTATTACTAGTGCCATCAAATCGCAAACTACAAAGTTACCCACCTTCTCTCAAATCAACTCGAACTCAGCAAGTACAAATTCTTTCAACACTTTATTCACCTTAACTATACTGAGTTTTAAACTCTTCCTACATTTTCTTGACCTTCAAGCTAAAGCAAAGAGGAAATCAGCGTCGACAATTCATCTGCTAACTTTCATCTGTACACCCATTGACCCGTTTCTTAGACAGAACAAACATGTCATACTTTAAGGCAGCATATCTCCTTTCGCCCTCAATTAAATGATTTTCACGTTCTGTTCTTATTCTTTGAAGTTCTTCTTCATTTCTGGCGCCGTTTGTCATTCGTCCTATCGTGTTTAAGGTCTTGTCACAAACCTGACATGTGTCTTCTCGTGGTTTTCGAAAACCCAACCTGCTGCCGAGATCTTCGTTGAACACGTTCCTGAAGGTAGTAAAACTTATAACAGGACCTTTGTTTTTCTTTCCCAAACGTGTCGAGGTGAAATTCGGGTATTGTCTAGTAAACTGTCCCCACATTCTCCTCATAGTTGTCGGCGTATCAAAAAATTGTTTTTCCGTTCGCGCCCTTCTGTAGTGCGAGTGGTTTGCCGAATGGGAACAGATAAACTCTGTTACTTGTCTCCTCGCATCTTCCGTCAATTTGCGCGGTCTGTTACTGTGCCTACCCCGTTTATCGGGGTCAATAGATAAACAGTCACAATCCATTTTCTCTAAAAAGGACTTTAATTTTTTTAGGCGATACTCCATAGCATTTCATGAAGGCGATTTTGCACACAGGGCCTAAAGCTGGGATACTGTAGGTTATTTTTCTGCGTCCGCTAGGAAATAGTTCCACTTGCATAAGTTTCGATATCACGTAATTTTGTTCGTTGTAGTTTCTAGATCTATAGAAAGCTCTACCTCGTTCCTGTCGAATAACTTGCCTCGCAGTCTCTATGCCATTCTTTAGAAGACATCCACCGTTGCAGCAGACCAAATTGACCGTGTCAACGTCGCGATAGGCGGCATTTTTTCTCCTTGACGGTGTTTGCTTCCTTGAAGAGTACCTTTTATCCATTTTGAATCTAGTTTTTCTTCTTCCCCGTTCAACCGAGGAGGCTGTTGGTGGTCCATGACGGAAATGGCTCCATTGATTGTCCACGTCAAAGTCATACAAAAATCGGGATAGGTCGGGAGCTGATTCTGCTTCACTGTTGGAAGCTGCAGCATAAGCCATTAAAAAAAAAAAAACTATCGACAAGCAGGAGCGACAAGCTTTGTTCGAATCTTCAGTTCTACTTCAAGTTGTACAAAAACGCGCATTACTGCAGTTACGTAAAAAGGGAGACGCCACCGTTCCACTGCTCGCGCAAAGTTTAGAACTGGCACAAAAAACGACTGAAAAATCGTTTATTTATTTATTTTTTCTTTTACAGAGGGGGATTAACTAGTTAGGTTTTGCGCTTGCAGCCGTTTTAAGATTGGAGAGTATGGTAGATCGCGTGACTGGTTATTTTAGCGCGCCTCGCTTTGAGGCAGAGAGTAAGCTTTTTTGAAGGCTTATTTCTCGGAGGGGTGAATTTTGCAAGAGAGAAAACTGTGCATATATAAATATGGAACATAAACTACGCGATGGAAGGGGTTTCAGGTCAGTGAAAATCGTTGTTTTATTGCTGAAGGACAGCAAAGTCAGTAGTTCTAGCATGGCTGCGCTGAGAGAGACGAGAAAGTACTGGGACGGGTGAGTATTTGTACCCAGAGACGTGGCTATTTTTAGCTGTCGTCCTCATCCACTGCTACCCAGGAAAGTAATCTACACGTGAAAAAGTCAGATCGATTGTTCCACGAAAGCACACGTAATTATCGTAAGTTTTTGTCGTCGTTAGAATTGCAATCGCCACAATTGAAAAAAGACACCATATTTCACATCCCTGATGAGGGCTCTGCAGTTCCTGATTTATTGTTGTTGTTGTCGTTATTATTTTTATTATTGTCATTATTACTATCATCAACATCTAAGCCTTTGCATTGTGCTTTCCTTAAGAAAAAAGCTTCACAAAGACCGAGACTAACCCTTAGTCCTAAGGTATTGACTTCAGTTTCTAGGTCTTCGTATTCTGAGAGTTTTTCAGTGACCTTAACAGAGGTGGTCTTGTCTAAACGCTTTGCAACGTAGTTTGCACGTCATGTTTTCGTGATCTTAGATGACAATGTCTGGTCTCTAAGTAGCGAATCCTTGGTCGGTGTGTATTTGCATCTTCCTTAGAAATGTAACATCTTCATGTTCTACAACTGTCTGTTGGCTTAAATAGATGATACCATTGTCCTGGCATCTTTTAATATGATATTATAATTCGGCCATATCTTCCAATGAATGCACTTGCGGCCTGATCATGGCTATGGATAAACCGAGAGCCGGAGCACTAGCCTGTTCCAGGTGTTCAGATAGTAGAGTACAGTGTTCAAATGGTGGGGAGTCAGTTAACACGCTCTACTGTCTGAACGCCTGGAACAGGCTAGTGGAGCACTTATTTATTTTTTGTGAATTTCTGGAGAGTGAAGGGCGGGAGGGGGTGAGAGAAAGGCACTTATTTAAACCGGGCTTCTCTCCTTCTTATACAGCACTTGTTATAATACATAAATTTATTGGAGATCCATGTACTGTATACTGTATATTTTGTAAGGAGAGGTGTTAAGGAAAAGGAGGCTGCAATAGTAAACCCTTCTTTGATTATTATTATTTTCCAATATGGTCACTTTATTGAAAAGGCAAGTTAGTGTCAAACTTAATACTGCTATCGATCCCAGTGGATCAGTTAATCCCCACAAGAGGAGAAAATAGCACAACTTTTTGTGTTATTCCTGATAAGAATTTCCCTTTTTCCTCATCGTTCCAGCAAACTCTATTACGTTGACAATTACGGTACTTGCATGTAGCATTGTCAAACTTAACTAACCCTGTGGTTCAATTAATTCAATCCTGGCTGAAAGTTATACTGTACAAAGTAATTCTTATGGATGAAAATGGCACAAAACTTCCCATTTGTTTATTTTATTGTTCAAATGGCAATCTTGACTGAATTTGACCGTAAATAGTTTAGTGGCAACTTGATCCCATCTGATCTGGAACCAGGGCAGGCTGAAAGACAAAATGTGAAAAAAATTAAAAGAAATTTCGTTTTGAGCTACAACACCCCCTGCCACGCCCCCAAACCACCTACACAGCCAATTTTATGCTAATAAATAGCCTGTATACAGACCCCCCCCCCCCCTGCAGGAAAAATCGGAGAAGGGAGGGGAAGGGGGGGGGGGGGGTACTGCACACAGGCTAGCTGATAAAGAGAGAGACTGGAACTCTGAAAATTGAAGCACAATATTATTCTGCAACCGCACGTTTATAGTATATCTATGTGTTACTGGCAAAAATTATCAAGACAGTCAATTTAGAAAAGTCTTTGGCAGTTATAGCAGATGTGCAATATTCCTGCTTCCTGCTCAGAACGAGTTGAGTTTCATAAATTGTGCACAAGGTGAATGTTAAGTGTAAACAAAGTTTCTCTACTGCACTTGCTTACCTTACCATTACTTCATGAATGCCTGGTGAATGGATCTCTTGCTTGTGTTGAAATGATGGCATCCGCCTTTGTTTTTTGAAGGTGACCATGGTGACCGGGACGAGGCAGTGTTGCTTTTCTACCCATTGACTGTCTAACCCAACTCCAGTCAGAAGAAGCCACCCCAACATTCTTGTGCTGCAGGAAGTGATACATGTACATCTCCATCCAAGAGGATTAAGGAGTGAATTTGGCTAGCCACGTATATTTAAGGGCTATCTACTGTGTTTGACTCCTCAACTAGTACAGCAAAAACACTGGCCCATTTCCAACCTGTCTTAAGCTTGTCATGGCTAACTGGAGGGTGGCACTGGTTTCTTCTGCAAAGTCTCTAGCAGTGTACACAGTTGCTGTGTGGATAAAATGAATACAATAAAACTTCTTTTATACTGCACTTTAAAAGCTGGAGCAACCTATTTCTGACTGTGAACAACTCGCCTTTATTTGTGCAAGCAAAACTTGAATCCAACTTCCTTCTTGAAGGAATGGTTTCAATTATAAAAAATAACACTAATACAGTGAAGGTACTAGTAGGATGTCTAGTCCTCTAGGCTTTTGACTGAAGATGAATGGAATCATTACACTGAGAAAAGATTGATTTCTGGCATGAAATGGTTTAATCTTAAGTCTCTGTCTTAGCCATTAGAATGTATCATCTGGGCTGGTAATTAGCAGTGTGTGCAGATTAGGCAGCCGGAAAGAACTAGACATTGCGATTTTCTCCCCCATTTGTGGAAAAAAAATCCACGGCATAAAATCAATACTGATCTGGTCCAACCGACCAGTCTCGGTGAGATTAAGAACTTACAAAAACACCAGCCGAAGAATTTTCTACCTTCTCTCGCCATTACCAACCTTTTACAGAGCAAAAATCGTGCAGGGACTACATTCTGTGATTTGATACCTTTCATTCCTTTATTGACCCTGTTTATTGTAACCGAGGCGGTGTCTGTCATGGGCTTTTTGACCAGTCCCCATAATTCTCTTAAGGGTCAGTGAGATCTTGAGGTGGTTTTCACCTTTGAGATCCAGCTGCAATGCTAAAAGGTCCTTTGGCTCTTCTTTTAAGATTAGGGATGGGTTTCAATTCTGGCATATAATTATGTGAACAGCTTATACTTCAGCACACGCCATATCAAGTGCACAAAATAATAGACTACTGTTAAGCATTTATGTACCACAAGTAAAAATAATGTTTCCACTTCCTTTCCCCAGAAGATGGTGCCGGTGATTGTTTATGTGGTCTGTCAGAATGTGGCATAAGTAATGGTCCCCCTGGATTCAAGAAGGAAAATCAACACTGAACCCTAAACCTGAAAGAGGCAATCTTGAGGTTGTCTATATGTTCAAAAAAGCTGTCTGCTTGACAATCGGAGGAAAAGGCCTGTGATGAATCTTAAAACCTTGTTGTGTATGTCCAACAGTTTAATTCTCTGATCAACTAGGAGAATAATAAAGTTTACATCTCCAACAACATTAGTACCATGCTGTGGAGATTGAAGGATTAATCGCTTGCTTATGATACGGAATCCTTTATTTCAATGTGTGGACTAGACAGAAAAGACCAACATAAACTGCAGCAATTAACAATCTTTGGGCTACACAAACAAGTATGGAGGGTCAATGGTTTTTTGTTTCAGTGTACTCCTATGATTATCTTTGCTTTGTAATGCAACAGTGTCTCGATGACTCACACTTTGTTTCTGATATATGCCGACAATCATTACTCCATTTCACATTTCATTACTCCCCCCAAACGTGAGTTTAAAACAGTGTTTTTAATCTGTTTTGCTTTGAACAAGCGTGAACAGCACAAGATGAACAATTATTCTGATGCATTCAGCTGAATTCTGAATGGCTGAATTGTTATGTTGCTAAGGGAATGTCATGCTTGATTCCGTGTGGGTTATGTAAACACAAGACCAATTGCCATGTCTACGAAACGAATATAGGAGGAAACTTGTACAACCTCATGAAAAGCCTTTATTGCAACTCGACATGTTCCATCAAAATCGGTGAAAACAAAACACAGCCTTTTTCATATTCCAGAGGTGTACGCCAAGGCTGTATTTTAAGCCCTCTTTTATTTAACCTCTATTTAAACAATGTACCACATTTATTCGAAAACACACACCTTATCTGACCCATTTGTTCTTCCAAATGGGAAAAAAAATAAATTCACTTTTGTACGCAGATGATTTAGTTATTCTATCAAGATCGAAAACTGGATTACAGAACTGTTTAAATGCGCTTTCCTTGTATTGTGACAAATGGAAGCTAAAAATTAATCCGAAAAAAACAAAAATTATGATATTCCAGAAACGCCCAAAAAAATCTATTGACATCAAATTCCAACATAGGCAGTGAGTCAATTGAAATTGTCCAAGAATACACTTATTTAGGTACACGTTTAACTCCAACGGGAAACTTTACACTTGCACTCGAACACTTAAAAGAAAAGGCCCTTCACGCGTTTTCTAGTATTCGGAAGCGGACAATTCTTAACAAACTTAATCCTAATACTGCATCCCATATTTTTGACACCATGGTATTCCCAATCTTAAGTTACAACAGTGAGGTATGGGGGGTGTACACCAAGCAAGATTTTAAAAAATGGGATAGCTCCCCAATAGAAAAAGTCCACCTCAAATTCTGTAAACGTTACTTAGAGGTTAACAATAAGGCCTCTAACATAGCTTGCAGAGCTGAACTTGATAGATTGCCGCTGCTTATCCCGATAAATCAGAAAATTATGAAATATTTTGTTTACCTCAACAACAAAGATAATGACTCTATAGTCAAACAGTCTTTCCTTATGTCAAAGAATCTACATTCAGGATATTTTTCCAATTTCATAAACATGTTTGAACAATACAATCTAACCAGTTTAGATGCTGAATCTCTAGATAATGATAAAATTAGACGATATACCACAGAAATGAGAGAGAAATATCTATCTTTTTGGTGGCACAGCCTTGAAAATTCAAAAAAACTAGAATTTTATAAAACTTTTAAAGACGAATATTCTACATCTGATTATCTCTGCCAGCTAAGACGTTATGACGAACGACAGAATTTTGTTAAATTTAAAATAAGTAATCACAAACTTATGATTGAACATGGTCGATACCAAATCGATCATTTGCCAAGAGAAAATAGATTATGTCCCTCATGTAACTCAAATCAGGTAGAAGATGAGATTCATTTCCTCTTTCAATGTAACAAATACTCAGTACAGAGACAGGCATTTATTAATCAAATCAATCGAATAATACCTGACTTTGACAAGAAATCATCTCCAGAAAGCATAAAACTGATAATGAATTCGAAGGAACATCATTTTAAAATACATATGTTTTTTTTTGTTGTTGTTGTTTGTTTTTACTACAGTCTGCAAATTATATTCAAACAGGTGTCGTGGTCCGGTTTTAGCACGCAGGTTCGATACTATTTTATTCATATTGTCTTGAGTTTCATTAGTGTTATAAGGCTCGATTTCGTTTGACTGTAAATATCCTAGCGATTAAATATGTGTAGGCCTGAAATAAACAACACAAGCTTGTAAGGGTTACTACACAGCTGCCATGAGAGACGAGAACGGATTTCGCAATACAATTTGTACTGCAGTGTCCAATGAATGTAACACTGTAGCTGTTTGCTTACCGATTATAACGATGTACAAAGAAACCCTGAATCTTGGAATATTCCTTGCTCGATCCCTCTGAGATCCTGGAGATCGCCATATTTGATTTTAGACACAACTGAATTATGGGTGCAGCACAGGTCACCCAGATAGTTAGGGCCTGTTGATAGATGCTAATCTTTGCGGACAGAGGTTAACAGTAGGGTTGGCGAAAAACCGTGCGTTTTATATTACAGAGAGTGAAGTTCGCGCTGGGAGGGTTTTCTTGTTTGTGAGAAAGTGTATTCTTACATAATGGAGTAGGCCATTTGCACGTGGTGTCATTTTACCATTATCAGGGTATTGCTTTCTTGTGCAAGTTAAGGCTTTTGTTATTAAAACCTTACTGGGACTACCAAATTTAAATAGAAAAGAAAAAACGAAATGAACTCTGGTCTTAGTAGTAAAAATAAAGGGATACGTCATCGTACAAATGGCCCACGGAGCTGTTGCCCGCGCGAAGCCTGGGTTTTGCCCGTTTGGGGCAATTACACAGTCCTCCGCGGCCATGCGCAACTTCGCTGCAAGAGATCACGGTGAGTGAAACTGCATTAGTTTTTTTTTTTTTTGTTTTTTTTTTTACTTTCACAAGTAGAAGTCTTGACGTTTCTGTCAGTCTTTAAATGCCGGTAACTCTGGGAGACACTCGAGCAAAAGCTCTTGGTTCTTGCCGCAAGAGTTACCGGCAGGTAATTGGGGTTAAAACGAGAACGGTAAATAGGACATCTTGCTTGGAAACCGCAAGAGGTGCTCCGAATATTTCTCTCTCAAAGCTACTATTAACTTGAACCAGTTAACAAACTTTAGTAATGCTAGTATTTTATGCTGCAATACTTCTTTCCCTGAATTGCTGTTGCTTATTATTATTTATTATTATTATCTTTTTTCACCAGAGAGGGAGTAAAGCAGTGGTCACTGCACTAAAGGAGCCTAAAGAACTTTGACCCTTTCGAAAAAAACAGACCCAACGGACAATACAAGGACCACGGAAATAGCATACTAGATTGCTTACAAACCCTCTGTGCTTTAAGAAACCTTTTCTGGCCAAATTAGAAAGATCACCATGGCAGATTATAAACTACAAGAGATAGCTAACACTTGTGTTATTTCTGTCTGATTTCACCTAAAAAGGTACCTATCTAAGAATTCCAGCCGTTGGCTAGTGTAGCTATCTAACTTACCGCCATACAGTTGTGGTGACACACGCAAGCATTGAAATCAGTGCATACTTTTTGTTCGTTATACTCCTCCCATATTAGTTGTTGGGACAAGGGCCTCAGAAGCCGGTGGGGGGTTTGAGGGGAAAGGGGCGTGATTCGCTGGCCAACCTCTACCACACTTGAACGAACCTTAGCCACTCTAAGGCCTTTTTGGTAATTCAGAAGTTACGTCAATTTGGAGACCACAGAAAGGGCATCCATTTTTTACACAGCCTCTTCTGTTGTAGGGTACCTTTTTCCAAAATCAGACAGATATATATATTAAAAAAGTATTTCATTACAATAAATGGAGCTTAAAATTCAACCTATTTATATCGGACTCACAGAAAACGCCTTCAAAACCAGGTACAGAAACCACACTGCATCATTCCGTCACACAAAACACAGGAACACTACGGAACTCAGTAAACATGTCTGGTCCCTGAAAGACAACATTGACTATTCTATTTCATGGCGTATCATTTCATCTAGCTCATCCTATAACAGTTCAAGTAAAAGGTGTAACCTTTGCCTCAAAGAGAAATTTTTAATTATCTGTCGTCCCAATCTATCATCACTTAACAAACGTGACGAACTTTACTTGCCGCCACAGAAACAAAGCGTTGCTATGTAACAATTAAACATTTACATTTAAATTTTCCCCAACAATGTAATCTCAAAGTATATAGTCGATGGTTATGAATATTCTTATCATTAAAATCCCATGAAGAGTGAGAGATCACGAAACAGGCTTGTCGGGATGAAAGTGTAGTTTTTTTCCTACTTCCAATATTTATATCACGCTCTACTTTAACGTATCGAGCACTCTACTACGGAAAAATCGAAACACAGACGGAAGACTTCACTCTTCGTCAGCTTAAGCAGCTCAAAACCAATAAAGCCATTGGCATAGACAATATCAGTGCCCGTATACTCAAAGATTCAGCCTCAGTAATCAGTGCCAGTCTTACCAGATTATTTAATCTTTCCCTGGAAACTCGCACCTTTCCTTCTCTTTGGAAATTTGGAAAAGTGGCAGCGTTATTCAAGAAAGGTGATCGCTGTGATGCTAACACCCATTACTGTGCTGCCAACGATCAGTAAAATTCTAGAAAAAGCCGTGCACACCCAACTGTACGCTTATCTTAAGAACAATGGTATCCTTACATCTAAGCAATTTGGGTTCAGACCGAAGTTATCAACTGGAACAGCCTTAGCTCATTTCACAGACAATATCCTCCAGAATACGGACGCTGGTTCCTTTACAGGTGCTGTTTTTCTGGACCTGTCTAAGGCCTTCGATACAGTGGATCATCCCCTGCTGCTGCAAAAATTGACGAACATCGGTCTTACCACCTCTACCACCCAGTGGTTTAGATCGTACCTCACAAACAGATCACAAATTACATCAGTTGGAGATGCTGGGCGCTTTCCATTTACGAAAAAAAAACGGAAATTTCGGTGGTAGCAAAAGTGGAATTTCCGATTGGTAAAAAGTTGTTCCATTTGGTCGTAAAGCCCGGTACGTGGCCGGGTGCCCGACCGTGGACCTGGAACTGGTACAAACTACAAGAAACGTCAATGGAACACGACATTCCGTTCGGAAATTCCAACCGGGAAAACGGGACCACCTTTTTAGATTTTCCACTTTTTCTGGGAATTTTCCAGTGGGACGAACCGACGAAACGTGTTCCATTTACCGCCGAACCGGAAATTCCGGACATTTTGACTAAATGGAAAGCGCCCGCTCACTCTGCATCTACCGAAATGCCTATTGGAGTACCCCAAGGCAGTATATTGGGACCTTTATTGTTTTTAATTTACATGAATGATCTTCCGGACTGTCATCTGGCAAGCGATATTATTCTTTATGCGGACGATACTGTACTCTATTACTCATCCAAAAGCGTCAGTGATCTTGAACATCACATCAATGCTGACTTGGGGACAGTGTCTGAGTGGTTCTCTAGAAATCTCCTGACACTAAATATATCCAAATGTAATTTTGTTATCTTTGGAAGTCTTCAGAAACTGAATCGTATTCAAGGCATTTCGGTTAAAGTAGAGGGCACTAGTATTCAAAGAACACAATCATTCAAATACCCAGGCGTAACGCTTCAACAGTCTATGTCCTGGGCAGATCATCTCGATGTTATCAGCATGAAGATTAATCAGAGAATAGGCCTAATTAGGAGAATCAGGAATCTGTTGCCGCTACAAGCTAGAGTTGCCTTGTACAATGCCCTAATCCTCCCTCTTTTTGATTACGGAGACGTTATATGGGGGGACAAGAGCAATGGCACCATCATGTCAGAATTACAGATTCTACAGAATAAAGCTGCTAAAGTTATGCTGGGGCAACCACCCGAAGCTCGTCAACTCAAGCACTGAAGAGTCTAGATCTGAAGTCACTGTCCACAAGAAGGTTTTTTCGCCGCTGCATTGCAATCCACAAGTGTGTTATTGGAGAAACCGATTTCAACTTTAATTTTACTAAAACTCAAGCTGTTCATTCACATAATACAAGACGCTCTAATGATATTCGCTTACCCCTACCCTGAACAAACTGGGGTAAACAAACTTTTATTTTTCACGCCGCGAAAGACTCAACAACACCGTTTCTTCATGATCGCGAGGCCATTCGCCGATCGAGTCTCTCGCCGATAGATAACTGCGGCTTGTTTATCCGACATCAAGAATATAAATCACAAGTAAGCAGCTGCAAATACAGGCTATGCAGCCATTCACTAGAGCAATCGAGGCGGCAGTATAGCTTCTTTTCTCGTTCAGCAAAACCAGCTCGTGGCTTCAAACAACTTCATAACAAGCGACCGAGGTGACAGTTTTTCTCCGTTGTTCTTACTTTTAAAACTGCACCGAAAATCCAGATTCACATTAATTTCGACGGCTGTCACTTAAAAATTATTTTCCTTCACATTATCTGCCAGGTTTTTTAGCTGTTCTGCTGTATAAAATCCTAGAATCCCGATGAGTTTTTAAAAAACTAACGTTCATCGCTACAATGTTTTGATTTTTCATTCATGCAGTCCAGGCGAGTGCGTTCGCGCGTTGACAGTTTTGATAGACGTGTGACATGTGAATAGCGGACTCCCTTGTCTTTTCCGGTTTGTTCTAGTCGGGGAGATTCAACGAGATTTTGTGGGCACTTTTAATAAAACAATTATTCCACTCGCGCTTGTTGGATATGAGATGATTATAGCCAACTCGTTGGCTCTCTATCATCTCATATCCAACGCGCCCTCGTGGAATAATTGTTAAATACACCCATGTATAATTAAAAATTGTATGCAAGTTTAAAATAATGTCTTTAGCTGTTTCTTAAAAGTATACAATTAACTTGAACGAAATGGAATAAGAGTGATGAAAATGTATTTGAAACAGCGTGAATACACTTTTTTGTGGCGTTTTCGCTCCGTGACGTCGCAGTCGTGGTTGCTTAATATACACCTTATATGGAAAGAGACCGTGACTGATAGGGAGATCGGGTATGCCAAATATGGAGAATACGGACTCTACGTCTCCGACCGAGTTTAATAAACTTTGGAGGGGCTAAACTGAAACGTCACTGAAATTCGCAGTAGGCTGCGAGATTAAAACCACACCATTTGAAGAGAGAGCATCATGCCACTAGCAAGCAAGCTCAGAAAGAAAAAAAAACTCTATTTTGCGCGTTTCAGCCTGATCATTATGATAACAAGCTTTAATCGTATCTCACACTTGCCCGAGCTTGTTTTTATAAAGGGAGGCTCTCCAGCAAAGTGTGGCTCGCTGCGTTCCGTTATTTACTCTATGCCGCATCTCTTGACGCACACGGATCCGTGCAGAAGAAGAAAATGAAATTGCATGAAACTGCAGGCAATGAAAATATCAAACAGATAGTTCATACTTCCTTTTGAGTTCATGGCCATCCTAACTCTGGGGATTTTGAAACTCGACCTTGGTACTAAAGTTCCAAGGCAACCTCATAACAGTTACAAAGGTATAAAGTAAAAGTCTCTTATTACCGCCACTACAGCGTTTTTATAAGCTCTATTTTTTTACAATCTGACTGAGTTAATTCTCGTGCGCTCATTGGCTTATTTCTATTAACAATAAGAGGACAGACATAAAATTTTAATTTCTGCAAGACGAAACACCGTATATAACGGAGAGTGTCTAAAATTTACCCGCTTAATACGGACACCGTTTAATATGGACAACGGACACTTTTTGTTTCCCAAGGCACAAACTCGCATACATTGTTTACCCCTGCTATTTACGGACACAGGTTATCTTCGCGCTGTCTATTTTCCTTGTAACAATCACGAGCTAATTGTAGATATTGTACACTGTTCAAACAATGACAGGTTTCTTTGCGTTTAAGAAGCAGAATAGCGTGATGAGTCAGTCTTTCCCGTGTTTGACCCTGGTACTATATAGCCATTTAATTTTTTTTTTTCTGTTACAAAAGTCTCACTTCCTTATTGTCTTTCGCCGCAGTCATTTTTCCTACCCTTCTTCCTCTTTGTCTGCCATAGTCTTTATATCAATACAAAATGTGTCCAGGACGTTTTTTCGGAGAGCCCACTTATTACGGCCATCCGGATGATACGGACACCAAGGCATTTCCTTTAATTGTCCCTATTAACCAAGTTCTACTGTAGTTTCTTTTAAAAAGTAAAATGTTTTTTTTTACTCTCCTTTTTTCCAAAAATTTGTTATTAATAGTTAATTAAATGTTATTAACCTACTATTTCCCTACTTCATCGTATGTAGCAGAGATCATTCATCCATTTGCAGGCGCAGATCGAGGCAGCTTAAAAATGCGATGTCTACAGATATATTTTGTCTCCCTTTCCCATGTTATTGCTTAACCTCGGTCTGTATATCTACCAGTGTGTGAAAGTCAGTAACCATATCCTCAATTACTCTGTATGCAGACAGAGATCGCCACAGTGGGGCAGCTGCTGAGGAATCTTAGAGGACGTGAAAATTACCCACTTTGAACCTGTTTATGTTCAGTAGATAAACCTTTATGAAATCAGTTAAACTACAAGAAAAACTAAAGTATTAAATAATTTTCTAGCTTTTCAAAAGTTAAGTTAATTCTCATGATAACTATTATAATTATTTCCTTTTTTCCTATATCAGAATGTCAGAATTATGGAAGTCTTAACAGCGCTGACAGAAAGATTACGTACACTACTCGCAGCTATAATTGTGACAGTGGAATCGGACCTGGTTGGTTTCGTTTTGAGGGGTCCGCCGGCACAAGAATGCCAACTTCATGTCCACCTGAACATAGGTGTAACACTTATGCAACCGGCTGGTTGAATGGTGGACACCCTACAGTAGCAGACGGTCAGGTCACCAGGACGGTGTGTTTTCATTATAGTGGTAACTGCTGTTACTGGTCAACAAACATCAATGTGAGAAATTGTGGTTCATATTATGTGTACTATCTTAATGGTACACCTGTTTGTAATCTTCGTTATTGTGGCACTAACTAAAAACAAAGTGCAAGTAAAGTAATACATATTCTATCATTTCACTTAAGTAGCCTTCATTGTTTTAAAGAAAGAAAAGAAAATAGAAAAATAGAAAAAAACTGCACTTAAGTTCAATATCTGAATTTCTATAAACTTAAGCAAAGAGAGAAACAATAAGAGCGAGGACAACGTATTACTCATGTTAGCAAGCACGAACAATTTTCTTGAAACTAAAATGAGGGTAAATTTTCTTTCAAGCCCGTTGAAGATCAAGTAAGAAATAAATAAAAGTAATAGAACTTACCAGGAAGTTAACTAAGTAAAATAATACATTAAATTAGCAATGCAGATCGATTTCTGCGTCACTTGTCAAGGTGATCAGAAATATACACATAATCCAAGAACGCCATGTAGTTGCTAAATATACTACGATGGACAGATGTTTTAACTTAGAAGATGTGCCGGGAAGGGAAGGGTATGAATCTGCTTACTTGCTTTAATATTGATCTTTATAGGGATGCACTCGGTAAAATCGGAAACAGAATGCATAACGACCATAGGTACAGTCAACTCTCGTCTTGCGCACACGCTGGCAATGCGAACAGAAGCTAAAATTACCCTTCTACTGCAGACTGTTGCTTGCTTACAAGGACACTGACTCGCGATCCCGATGGGGACTGTTTTTTTAATGTTGAGAAATTTTGGGATTAGGATTGAGTCTTTTTGAGAAATAAACGTACAATTTAATGAAATACCTGTTACCTGCCTTTGTTTTTATTGAGTATGACAATAGTCTATTTACACGTTGGCGTCATTTTACTCACTGCCAGAATCCTCTGAGACCCGGATTACATAAAATGTTCTACCGATCTAGCTAAATCCAGGCCAGACGGTGGAGTTTTACTGTGTGAATTAGGGAGTGTGCAAGTCGTGTACCACTCGTACGAAGGACTCGAAATGTCAATTGTATCCTTTCGCGTTCTGAAAGTGAGAAACCCAACAAATCGACTCTAGAAAATTGAGATTAACTAGGAATCAAAGAAAAATCTTTTGACTCTGGCGAGAATGACAACCTACTTTCTCCGGGTCTCCATCACAGATCTCCCGTCGTTAGCAATTTTGGATCATCATCATCTTTCTTGGCCACTTTCCAATACTCCTGCCATGCAAAAACACCGAACTAGCTCACGCAGCTGTTATACAGCTGGCTTTAGTCTAGCTACTCGTTGTGGTATACTAAATACCCCTCAGACCTTTCCAAGCCTTACCTTAATGTAAAATATCTCCCCGAGAGCCTTCTTCATCGCTAATAACGCTGCCCAAATAAATGAAATAAGGTCATCAATGAATTCCAGTTTCGCCGAGCATCTGTGGTGAGAGCATCGCCTTGTCGTACCACATAAGGGAATTCAAGACAGTCCTGGATTCTGGATTCCACGCCGTGTATTCCGGATTCCAAAGCCTAGGATCCCGAATTCCTCCATCAAAATGTCCAATATTCCAGATTCAACAAGCAAAAAAATTTCCGGGATTCCGGATTTGGATTCTCTTGCATGGCGCGAGCCTTGGGCTTCAGGCAAATCCGTTCACTGTCTTTTTCCTCTCAAAGATCGAGGACGATTACTTGAGAGTATAACCAAATCATCAGCACTTCAAGATGGATAAAGAAGGTCGAACTGTATACCTCTATGTTGACCTGTATCTCTCATGATAGCAACGACCTATTATACCAGAGACACAGGATTCAACCATTCAACCTGCCTTATATTACTTGCCTTACTTGTACTCCGGAGTTAACAGCAAATGCCTCTGAGAGCGTATTGTGCAGAAAGATTTCGGATTACAGCTAGCCTGGGACCAGGCTCCGCATTGGGGGAAAAGGCAAAAAACGGGGTCAATTAAGAAAAATATCGGCGAGCGAAGCAAGCCGAGCGCGATTTTTTTTCCCCTTTTCCCCACAATGAGGAGCCTGATCCCAGGCTAGTTTACAGTCAAACCGAGAAAACCGTGAACACCAGAAATATTTCTGGAATGTTATTGTGTTGCGCGAAAGAAACAAACAAACAAACAAACAAACAAAAAAACAATCAGGCGTGTGAAAACTAAACGGCAAGCAAGAACGTTAATAACAGTTTGTGGTTTTGTGGCTAGTTCGCGTGTCCTGATCTTTGCTGTAATTGGTCATAACGCAATAAACATTCCTGAAATATTTCAAGTGTTCACGATTTTCCCGGTCCCTCTGTAAAAGTGATCATAGGAAAGGCCTGTGTCACATGGACAAAGTCAATATGTGTTCGGCGCAGCCTCTTCATCCGTGGAAACCTGCCTGTTCTTCTGTTAGCCTGCTCTAAATCGCTTTTTTGTAATTATTGATTCGCCCCAGTAAGACCCTGCAGACACTTACATATTATCTTACATTGGATCAAAAATGTGTTCCCTCTCACAGCTGGGAGGGAATTCTGGTCATATCAAATGTGTAGATCCGAGCTTATTCAAGAACAACAATACGAAATGAAAATCCACAGAATGCAATGCAATGCAATGCTGAATTCATTGCATTTGCTATTATTCTGGGAAGTGCATTAATCAAGACATTTGAAAAAGGAAACAACAGTCGAACAAAAGAACACGGGTGAATTAGAGGAAGGATGTGGATTGCCAAGTGAAGCCCGACACTCAAAAAATACTTCAGGGTTGAACTCCTACTTCCTAAATAAATGAGGCCAAATAAGAGAGAGGGGGAGAAAGAGGCCAATCAAAAGGAGACTTAATTAAGTGTGTTCATGTCAGTTTAAACGTTTTACATTTTTAGGCCACTATAATGTGATATGAAAAAACGTTTAAAGGTTTAAAAAAGGTTAAGGCTTATTAATAGTGAAAAGTGCACTTAGCTTATCCAGCTAGTTTACAGGCACTCACTCTAATACTTAGAAAAAAAAAATAATTGAAATACAATGTGCTTTACTTCTGATGCGGATTACTTCTCTGTGCTTTACTTATCCCTTTAAGAGAACACAATGGAAATATTATGATCAAGAAAGGAAATATTACTTTTTAGTCAAAGCAAGATGTCGGGAGAGCAACACGTTCTGCTTGTCCAGTTGTGCTATTTCTATGGAAGCTACAGTGTATATGCTTCGTGCTCAAGGAAGTCCAGGTATACCTACCTTTTAAGATTAATATGTGCTTACGCACTGCTCTTAACCAACACATTTTTCTACGCTGAATTGCAAGTTTCGTTGTAAGGAACAAAGAAGGATATCGGGTGGGGCGCACGTGGAAGAACCTAGCTACTTTAAAAGGACATTACGCTCCCCGGTTTAACAGTATGCATATTGAATCCACCAAAGATCAGATATAGTTCAGAGCTAACGCTGCCCAGATATATAAAAGGTCATCAGTGGAATCAAGTTCCGCGTCGTCTAGGGTGAAAGCATCGCCTTAGTCTTTATCTTGTTGCTGGGGATCAAGCATAAGAGGACTATTCCTTTGCTGGCAAAGGCAAACGGAGAGGTGGAGCGACAAAACAAGTTTACCCTCATGAAAGCCGAGCCAAGCTGCAGGCTTATTAAGACTATATTGCTTAAGAGACTAGTTGATTTTGATATAACGACTTTGTCCAAGAGACATTTTGTTGAGAAGAAACTATTCCTTGAAATCTTCAAACAGTTTTATTAACTCTCCTTACGGGATTGTTACAGTTCTAGCTCAGAGTTTTATTTGTTTCATCGTCTACTGCTTCATTTCAAAAAAGGGGGAGATGTAGTGATCGTATGTTGGGATTCCTGTACCCGTGCTCGTAAGGCATTGTGGGAAATGTGTGACTATATGGCAGACTGAAAATGTGCGTTGTTTTTTCTGAGGTGTAATCCGTAATCATCGAGGACCAGTCTGGCTTGCAGTCACTACGCCCCTTTATTTAACAACGCTGACAGAAAGATTACGTACACTTCTTACCACGGTTATTGTGACAGTGGAATCGGACCTGGATGCTGGTTTCGTTTTTAGGGCTCAGCGGGCAGAAGAATGCCACCTTCATGTCAACCAACTAACAGATTTGGGACTCTCATTACAAACTGGATAAATGGTGGACACCACTCAGTAGCAGATGGTCAGGTCAGCAGGACGGTGTGTTTCCACTGGACTGCAGGTTGTTGTGAATTTTCAACAAACGTCAAAGTGAGAAATTGTGGTTCTTATTATGTGTACTATATCTTAATGGCATACTTACTTGCTATGGCCGTTATTATGGAACTGATTAAAAGCAAAGAGAGTATTACATGTCCACTTTAGTTTCACTCAAAGTGGCTTTCTTTCTTTCTTGTATTAAAAATACAGGATGGAGAACAAAATTAAGGTAAGATAACTTACTATTAGTCCGGTTTGCAAGTTATATAAAGTGTGTTGCAAATTAATATGAGGATAAATAATTCTATTCTTAGGCTGCTTCAAAATAATCGAAATTAAGGAAACAGTAGTAATGGAACTTACTAGGAAGTCAAACAATGCCTTTGACTTACAGATTAATTAAGATGGACAACAATGACATACCGTTAAGAAGTGGACAGGGAGAAAAATATTCATTTGTTAACTTAAACCTTCACGTTGATCGGTGTAGGGGCATTGAGGTAGCTCACACTCTTATTGTGAACAAATTGAATCTCTTTCGGCAGAACATAAATTAAGGCATTTTGGCCAACGATAATTTTCTTAGTCAAATGATTGTACTACAGCCTAGTTTACTCTTTACCACTGCTATGTAATTAACCAACAAAACCTCAAAATATTGAAATACTGATCAGCAACAGGCAAACGGTCACTTACAATGTATGAAGCACTTTAAAACAAATTTAATCCTGTTTCGTAGTTGCTCTGTAGTGTTTTGATTACAGTAGAGCGGTCCTCTACCCTTACCAAATCCAACACTGTTTTGAATGTATTTTTAAGCTATTTTTGAAAACTGTTTTTAACCTGTTTTGTGAAATAGGTTTTAAATAGGGTAAAAAGTGTATTTTTAATGT